TATATATACATATATATATATTGTATGCATGGTTTAACTTCCAAACTTTTGAAAAAACATGTTTAATTACCAAACCAAAAAAAAAAAAAACAAGACCACAATAACGACCAAAAAAACCCACACAACACAATTGTTCAGCCAGTTGTGAAACCATTTGACATCGAGTCAAACGTTTGCACAATTTAAATATGTCTTGACCTTTTTTTCAGTAATAATTTTTCTTGCGGACTCTCTGGCAAGGATACGAAAGTACTTTGGAAAAATCCACACACTTTACAAGAGAAAGAAAATGGGCCCAAGCTGGGTGTATGCGAACATTTTACTAGCAGCAGCATTGATCTTGTCTTCAAATGCAGTTGTTCTCAACGTAACGACCACGGAGGTTGAAGTAGGACAAACAGCGAATGTGTCGATGGAATGCTTCAGCTCTCGTCTCCCAAGCGACGTTGCTGACGTCGCTATTGTGAGAATTCTAAAATGGGAGCTGAAGGAATGGAACAGTGTGGTAGAACGTAGGGGCAACAATAATAATATGGAAGTCAGAACCAACTCCGAAGATGCGTTTGTTCTGACCAACTACAGCAGCTCTGGTGATAAACATGAAAGTTTCCTGCGGCTTACCTGGCCTTTGGCGACCATCGACACCGTGGGAAGATATCGTTGTGACGTCATCGCCTTCACTGTCCAAGAGAGCGTCATGTGGCTGAAAAGTCAGCCGGTATTCATCAGCCGCAAGGAAGTGGTCACTGTCCAGATGCTGAGCCAAGTAGTGGAGGAGAACAGGAGGGAAAGTCTTAAACAACTGCTTACTCAGAAACAAGATATACTAGAGAACGTGACAACGACAGTGGGGGCGCTTGAAGCGGATTTCCAGAACACTTTAAAGACACAACAACAGGTGAGAACTTCTTGTAAATAACTACCCAAGAGTTGGGCCTTACGCCCTTATTGGTATTATTGGGGTATCTAAAATTTTAAGAGGCGGAATCTCCCAATAAGTCTGTCTCCAAGGACCGAGCCAAATGGTTTGACAGCCTTTAAACATTCACAAAAGAACAGCCACACTATGTTGGTATCATGCTGGGCTACAATGTGGGATTTCCTTTGACACAAGAGTGTTTTGGGATGTATTGTCTCGATCTTATCTGAGACACACATAAAGTTCGGAGCTTCTGTTTCTTCCTAAAACGTTACTGTTGTGAGAGTGGCGTCACGCTCATATGATAAATAGAAGTCCTGTCCTTTCGGGACAAATGCTGGGGCGAAAACAGAAATGAAATCATAACAAACAAAGATGATGAGGCAGCAAGGATTATGTAAATATATTAAGTCACGACTCGTTTGAATCAGGCCATCGTCAGTCGGGGTTTTTTTTAGGTACGAGTATATCATTATGAAGTTATTGGTGTCTCCTTAAAGCGTGTGCAATAAAGTGTTATTCATTTTATTTGCTAATCTATAACCTTTCAATAAGTCGTTGGTCGTTAACCAGGTTCTGAACCAAGCAGTGGAGGGCATCAAGGCAGAATGTCTTCGTCAACTCCACTCGCACAACATGGACATTCTGCACAACGTGACGTCATCGGTGGAGGCGAGCGAGCGAAAACTGGTTCATCAGTTGGCCACACAGAAGCAAGACATGTTGGAAAATGTAAAAGCATCCGTATGGGCTCTAGAGGCAAGCTTCGAGAGCAGGATGAAGAACCAATTACAGGTGAGACTGTCTCCCAAAGTAAAGTCGAAACTGTCTAAGACGGGCATCCATCGTCGAGGAGAAAATTAGCTGTCTTAGACAGGTGACCGTCTAACTCGGTGTCGTCATACCACTGCCTCAGAAGAACAAAGTTCTATCTAACAATTGTGGCCGTTTTGAGTTACTAATCAGAAATCAAATGCTCTATCTTCTCTTTCAAAATAGTGAGATTATTCGGAGTCGCTATTAAGATATTCAAAGAATTGCATTTTAAAAAACCTTGACATGTTGTGAAACTCAAAACTTTTGACGTCAATTTTCTCAAAACTAGGTACTGGGCAGACAGAACTTGGTAATTCTAAGGTAGCGATACCGTGATAAAAAAGTAGGCAAGGGGGGGGGGGAGGAAAGAGGCCACTTGGACAGGTGATTGTCTTACACAGGTGGCTGTTAGAACAGGTACGGCTGCAGTTGTACCTCAGTGGTCATCGTCATCACCAGCAGACCTCCACAACCTGGGAGTATAGGCCACTAACAAGAGCTCCCTGTGCACTTTTTTTTCCTTCTTAATATAATAGGTCTCTGCCTGTCATGGCCTTCCTAGTCTGAGAGGTATACAAAATCCCAGCAGAGAGACCGATATACTCGATAAAATCTACTATCTAAAAATAAATTCATCTGCCTCCTTTAGTCTATGATGAACTTTGAATTCGGAGTCCCAACCCCGTAAATGACCTTAACGTGCTGACTGCAAGGAGCGCTTACTACTAGACCCCACGTGACCTTTAAAAACTGCCACAATGAGGAGTAGTGTACAAAATCTAAACGAAATGAATAAGCGAGCGAGGGGGGGGTACACGCATATTTGTTGATCAAAATTTTACTAAATCTCACACAAATAACAAGCATAGTCAGTAGTCTTCAAATTCGTAAACAAATTTACAAAAATGTTTCGTTGACATAGAAACGGCGGCCATATTGGCTTTTGTTAACATGTATTAGACAATCAATACCTCATTTATTTTCAATGGAAATAGGTAGTTATTTTGCATGCATGTTAAAAATATTTGTATACGATAGATAAGTTTTTTTTCGTTTTTTTTGTAAATGAAAAAAAAATGGACAATGAACAGGCTTTAAGGTTATATGAACAACTCCATAATGATACGAACGGCTAATACCATTGTGGAAATATTTTATTTACTTCCAACGAGACCGAAAAGAGAAAGAAAATGCCATTATTAAGCAAAAATACATTCCAGTTTTGATTAAACATTACGAGTATCGACACATTACAGGTTTGGGAACTTGCCATTAAACAAGACATTCTGGACACCATGACATCAACTGTGGGGGCTATGAAAGAGGTTTTGGAACGCAAGATTGACGCACTGAAGAGTCAAATGAAGGTGAGAATGCGGGTGGTTGGAGGGCTCTCTGGTGGGGTTCGCTCCTTCTTCCCTATCCAGCATTTCTATATCATCGTCATTATCTCCCCTCCATCTTTTCTGAACTGTATTCTCTAATAAAACATAATATAATAATCTTCGGCGCTTTTATGGTCTATTTGTGTTATATGGTGCCGTTAAAATTTTACTGTGCGTGGTTGGAGGGTGATCTGGTGTGGTTTGCTTCTTCTTTCCTGTCAAACATCTGTCTTCTGTATCTCTCCTTCTTCTTTTTTGTGTTTGTCACTCTCTTGTAACACCTCTAATCTTCGTATATGACCTTATTGTGTTGCAAGTGCCGTAAATCACTTACTAAAACAAAACTTTTACTAAAACAGGTGAACCTCCTCGCACTGTTTGCGGTCCACAACTGACTTGAGCTTGGGGGTTAGAAGTTTCTTTGGGGCTGTTTAAATATTATAATCTCACACCTTTTTGGGGACCCCCGCCCCTTCGACTCCTTCTTACACTTTTCTTACATTTGCCACCCCCC